TGTATATAACACTGTTCTAGTGGTTTTTGGATATTTTTATTAAAAAAAATCTTACATATTGTGCCTTTAAAGAGAATAAATAAATCATGATAAATGTATTGCTACTGTGTGAATAATATGTAATCATGTAACCAATAAAAAAGTAACTGTAGTCTGATTACAAGTATTTTAAAATGTAATATAATCTAATTAAAGGGAGCGAGAGAGAGAGCGAGAGCGAGGGTCACATCACAGTGGAGTCAGCTGTCTTAACCGTGGCTTGTGTACTGCAAACACATACCAGCTTCATCACTGTGTCTGTCACGCGACTCTGTTCCCCTTTCGGGCTTGAACTGATGATAAAACTAATGACATTATTTACCGTCTTTACATTTATTTTGAAAGATGAAGCTGGCGATTTTGGTAAGGGGTGTTACATTTCTGACGAGTGCTTGCGGTGTTCGGCCAATCACAATGCACTGGATCAGCTGGCCAATCAGAGCAGACTGCGCTTGTCGGAAGGAGGGACTTTGTATAAGGACCTACAATAATGTACAGTATTTGAAAAATAATGTGTTTTTTGAACATTAAAGCACGTCAACATATTCTGTCACACCAAATACACAAAATAATGATCTTTAAAAAAGCATCATATGACCCCTTTAAGAGTAGGCCAATCAATTTTTAAAATCTGATTAGGTAATTTAGAGATTACATGTAATCAGTTATTACCCAGCACTATACATACACACACACATATATATATATATGTAAATGCTTTATATTAACCATTAGCTCCCCTGCTAAAATATTGACATCATCCATCTAAATCTAGATAAAGACTGGCATGGGTGTTCAAGCACAATTCAAATCCCAGAAGTGATTACATATTGAGGCTTATGCACTGACTTTAAAAAAAGTTTAGACTTTACAGATTTGTAAAGAGTTAAAGAAACCTCTAATGGCATGACATCAGTCTGGAAGAGCTCCAATACGCCTCGAGCAGCTGTCGGATCCACTTGTCTGCCCTACCGATCGGATCACGAGTACCAGAGAGTGTCACCTTTCTACAAACGCGACAAAACAAAAGGTGAGTTGATTTGAACTGTATTGTCAGCTGTTTTACTCGCACGGAAAAACAGAACAAAGTTTCCCAGTACGCGCGACTATCATGTGATCACTATTATCAACGCGCTACAATCCCTGCAAACCTTCGCTTACGAATACTATAAACTTTTATGGTATATCTGAACAAGGCGAAGCCGCAGATGCGTGCATGCATTCAGTAGCTGGTGCTCAGCCTCAACAGATGATCAACAGCCACCACACAGACACTTCCAGCTCCTTCTCCACACATCAACTCCAGAAACACCGCGTATGATTCGCACTGATTCGTCCACTCACCTGTACGTAGTTACTTTCGCAGTATTCGGCGACTCTCTCGAGGTTGGTGAAGCTGTCCAGTAAAGCTCCGCGACCCGCTGGAATTTCCTCCTCCAGCAGCATCTGCAGCTCCGCCATCTTTACATCCCTCCACTCGACCGCCTCCCTCGCGCAGCTACAGACAGGAAGTCGAGCGGCTTCACCTCCCGCTGAGTTTTGGGGAAAGCCAGGGAAGCGCGTTTACGAATCCTACTATGGTGAAGGAGCTCGCGTACTAAAGTTAGCGATGTTGCGCAATATTCCGTAACCATACCATATCCTGTAACTATTTCATATACATTTAAATGTGAAAATATATGGACACACACTACTGGTTAAAAGTTTAAAATAATGTGAAATATTATTACAGTTTAAATGTAAAATGTGAATTATTCCTGTGATGGCAAAGCTGACCATTACACCAGTCTGCAGTGTCACATGATCCTTCAGAAATCTATTTACTATGCTGATATGTATCATTATTATTAGTGCTCTATTATTAATAATGGTTCTTATTAAAGTTTTTGCTGCTTAATATTTTTGTAGAAACTGTGATGAAAGTTCAGAAGAATAGTTTGCAACAGATGTCTTTATTGTCACTTTTGAACAAATAAAATAGATGTATAAAATCTTACCTCAAACTTTTGAATGGTAGCGTAGTTTCCACAAAAATATGAAGCAGCATTCTTTTTTTCAGAATTTAAAATAAAACTGTTTCTTGAGTTTCTTAATATGTATCTAAATATAAAATAGTTATTTTAAATCGTAATAATACCTCACAATATGAGAAATTAATATTGATCAAATGCAGCCTTGGTAAGCAAGAGACGACTTTTTTCAAAAACAACAACTTTTATAGCGTGTATGAAAGAGTTCCACAATATATTACTTTTTGTTGTTGTTGTTGTTGTTGTTGTCGTTGTTAATGATTTAACCAGCGATCTAAGCATTACAGTATAATAACAAAATGCTACCTTTAATAAGTTGAACATGAAGCAACAGATAAACAACCTTTATCACTACATATTTCTTCCTCTCAGTTTTCCTGCCAACGATAATGTTTCTTTAATCAAAATGAATTATCACACACAATATACGCCGAAAGAATGCATTACTTTAAAAATACCTCTAGATGCACTTTTTGTCTCGCATTCCTTTGGAAATTGCGCCCTCTGTGTTGTCATCAATTCACACTTTATTCGCCAAGTGTGTGGAGCTCTTGGTAAAAACATACATACATACATAAATGACATTGAGAACAGAAATAACATTTAAATAAGACTAAGGGAAAAATAATAATAATAATATTGTGGTATGCATCTGGAACAGAAGATGTATGTACAGATTTGTGCATTATTTACTGTATATACAGCTGTATAAATAAAAAGATGTATAATTATTTACATAATACTTGAGACAGAGACTATAATTAGTTATTAAGAAATGAATTATAGATGGCAGGTGGTGATTTCTCTGTTAGCTGTTTAAGCTGGAGATGGCATGGGGGAAAACTGTGTTTATCTAGATGTTCTAATGCAGAGATCTGGAACGTCTGCCTGAGGGGAGACATGCAAACAGGTGGTGGTCGGGGTCTGTGATAATGTAACCTGTCCGCTTCTTCACTCTGGAGTTGTACAAGTCCTGAAGGTTGGGCAGGTGCACACCAATTATCCTTTCAGCTGTCCTAACAGTCCGTTGCAGTCTTCTTATATCTTTCATCATCAAGAATGATTTCACTCCTTTAACATCTAGTTAGAAATGACAGTATTAAAAGGCAATTTTGAGCTGTGTTTGTGTATATGTGCTCTTTAGTGATGCGTTTAGTTGTAAAGGGGTATTTGACATGAAACATCAAGTGATCGACAGGAGTGTCCCACATTTATTTGCATTTATTAAAGCAGGCACACACTCTTATTAGCAATCCAAAGCAACTTGCAAACTGCATGTTATACCTGCAGTATGCAATACAATAATTCTGGTAAAAGTACTTTAAACAACATTTTTCTAATTGTTGAATAATTATAATATAGGAAATTATGATCCGCACTCACGAGAACAATCTTCTTTTTTCTTTTCTTTTACATTCATTACTGATGGGAAAAGACACAAACGTTTCGGCTCAAAGCCATACAAAATATGTGATCCTAAATAACTATTGTTTTAGTCACGGGTATATTGTGAGGTGTACTAGTGGATGTGATGTTTTGTGTTGGATATATATATATATATATATATATATATTGTCCAGGGTTTAAGTGGAAATTATTTAATGATTGTGATAATTGAACATTGGCTAATGAATGATGACGTCAATATAATTAGTGATTTGAAAAGTGGGTGGAGGGATTGAATTGCTTTACACACTGAGGAAGGCTTTGAGCCGAAACGTTTGTGTCTTTTCCCATCAGTAATGAATGTAAAATAAAAGAAAAAAGAAGATTGTTCTCGTGAATGCGGATCATAATTTCCTATACTAAGTAACTCAACAGATTGACGCAACAAAATAAAAAGATCAAGTAATGCAAGAGCGCAGTGCAAACGACGTTGTTAAACTGAATAATTATAATATAAATACAGTTCTTATGAATGCATAGATACGAAATATATGTGTTGTAAAAAAAATGTAAAAAAAAGTGAAACAGGAAACTTAACAAAAAAGTTTATTCATATGTTTACACGGTTATTATCTACAGTATACAGTATAACAAGCTCAACAACAAAGTAATATACAAAATGTTTACTTCAAAACATTTAGCACAAAACAATGTTAATTTCTGATTATTGATAAATGTAAATCATGTATTAGTGTCAGGCTGCCAGCTCATTTTTCTCATCATGACGTGGATACTCCTCCACCTCCATCGCCATTAAAAACTCTGACAGTAAAGACAGTGCTTATGTTAGGATGTGGACTATAGAGGAATAAGATGATGTGACAATAGACACATGAAGAGGAAAAGACACACACACACACACACACACATTCTGTGTAGGTCTACTTACCTTCAGTGTAGTCCATGTCTGGTCGTGTAGCAACAAACACCCAGGCTAGACCAACCAGAAGAGCTACGACCAGGTAAGGCCAAACAAAGTAGTTTCGCTTTCACAACGAAACAGCGTCACACACAGCGGCTCACTCGAGTATGCGGAGGCCGGCTTGAGTGAGCGGCGGCAGGCGGGCTTGAGAACGGCGCAGCCGGCGGATTTGACGAAGGAGTGTCCGGCGGGCTTGCGGCAACCACGTGTGACGACGGGTGGTTGAGAGTGTACGCAGGGTGCGAACTACGGGGGAGCTAGGGGGAGCTCGGCTCCCCTTAATAAGACATGGGCTCCCCTGAAAACGTGATTTGTGAAATTTTGGGGGGTCTCAAAAAATATTCACAATGTGTTATTTTGACGTGCAATTTCAGTTTTGTGTAATGTGATCATCGTGGATTATTATGTGTAAAATTGCTAAAATATCGTTCATTCATGCATGACGGCGATTTAAACTTAATTCACTTGAATAAAGATAACTATACATGCTATTCTAGTTTCACCTATCAATTTGTGTCGATAAAGTATAATAGGGTAAATCCTGTATAGTGATTTATCCTATATAGTGCTTGCATAAAGCAAGTAGTGCATACACTTGTAGCTGTTATGTATCTTTGTAAGACATTGTAAGCCCTCAACAAACCCTCCCCCCCCCCCCCGTTCTTGCGCACGAACCAACCCCCCTCTGTTATAAAAAAAAAATCAAGTGGGCTCCCCCGAAGTCCACGGTATAGTTCGAACACTGAGTGTACGCCTAGATTGACAAACTCACCAAAGTGTTTCATTGGCTGTGGGGTAGAGATGTATACGATCACTGGTCATCTGCTGGCTCAGTGACAGGATGAGAGCAGCAAAGTATACTATAGGACAAAAAAGACAGACAGAAGGTTTAATAAAAAAAAACATTTCTGTCTTTGTGTTGTCAGAAGCCGTGTTATTTTAGTATTGAGATTAAAATGAGAAACATTGCCTTAACAACTAGCTGAAATAAATAAAAAGGTTTTTATATGTTTTTTTCTTTCTTTTCTTTTTAATGTTTTTAGTTTTAGTAAACTATAATAACTCTGGTAAGAGGTAAGTGTTGTGTTGATACAGTTTATTGATTTTCACTCACAGAAGGAAGCAAGAGCCGCTGGATCAAGAGTGAGAAATCCTCGAAGAGCCATGGAGGCTTTGGCCAGATTCACCCTGATGTAAAGAGGGTACAGCTAACTCACTCTGAACACGAGTCACATTTTAAACACTCAGATCAAGAAATTATACAACAGTTAGTTTTGAAACATTCACTTATCAGTTGTCTTGCAAGTCAATGATTCGATCTTAGTGCAGGTTTTCCCAAACTGGGGTTTGCAAACACATGGTTGCTCGTGAGTTGATGAAAACGTAATAAATAATGAAAATGTAATGAACACTAATTACTTTAAAATAAAAACAATCAGAATAAAACACTTACTAAAAAAAAAAACTGTATTTGTTTAACTGCATGTCATGTGACCATTAATCGACATCAGGGAGCCATAAACATGCAAATGTGTTGTTAAAATATTGAAATATTAACTTAATATCTTAATGTTAAAGGGGATCGGCTGACAAAATGTATGGGAATCCCTGGTGAAGGACTAATTTATTACACTGGAATCAATAAGTTTGCTCATTGAAATTTTTAATTGCTTGGAGTATGATTATGTATTGTTTGTACTGTTGTTGCTTGTATTGACACTTGTGTTCTTACTCCGTGTCCACACACCTGTCAAAGGCAGACATGGTGCTGATGGCCAGCAGCAGGTAGAGCAGAGACTGTGCTGGGTAAGCCAGACTGTGGTACTGCTGGAGAAGGTTAGGTAGAGTGGTCATCTGCTCTCCAGCTAACACATACACTACAATGATGTTCCACACCGCATATCCTGCCAGAAATCCATGAGAGAACAGTCCAATGATCCTACACAGAAAACAACAACAATTTTAGCACATAAGTCATCAAGCTCCAAAACCACATGATAAGGACATGGCCATGATGAGTACTGGACAAACTCATGAAACCCTGTTATGAAACTGAAACACATTAGAGTTGATAAGAGTTATTAGACCATTTGAGACCATCTCCCAACCAAGCCCACCTGAAGCCGCTGTGGACCCTCATGGCGACATCTCGTGTATTCCACATGGGTCTGACCTCCATGTACTCCTCCATATGGTCACGGGATAAATCCAAACGATCAGTCGCCTGGAAGCGGCCTGGGTCAGAGGTCATACAGCATTTTATTAGTTTTATTTTATTTTCCTATTTTATTGGCTACATTTATATATAATATACTTCACATAATACTGTATATATATATATATATATATATATATACAGGTGCATCTCAATAAATTAGAATGTCGTGGAAAAGTTAATTTATTTCAGTAATTCAACTCAAATTGTGAAACTCGTGTATTAAATAAATTCAAGGCACACAGACTGAAGTATACAGTTTAAGTCTTTGGTTCTTTTAATTGTGATGATTTTGGATCACATTTAATTAATGTATAATGAAAGTATCACTACATGTATATATCTCACAATGAAACTCACGGTTCTTTTCTACAAACACTTTTCCAATCGGATGACTGTGACCCAGAGGGGCTGAGAACAGAGAGCGCTGAGATATGGGTGCGTGCACATCAGTGATGATGTCCTCCTCCTCCACACCGAGCTCATTATGAGGCTGGTTTTCTATCATCTTAGCCTTTCTTCAAAAAGAAGTGGACTTTATTCTCAGCAGAAAAAGTCATATAATCACAACTGCTATGAAACTAAACTACTGCATTTAGATGTATTCACTTTCTTTTCTATTCAACTTTTTTGCCTCTCACCTTTTTCTCTTGCTTTTTTTGGTGACTTCCTCATCATCTGTATGGGGCTCTTGAACATCTCCATTTGAAAGGTCTTGTTGTTCACTCTCATCTTTTAACACAATAAAATCAAAAACAATTCATCTAAAAAGACGAAAATAACATACATAAATTAAATGTGAATAAATTACTGTATTTACCCAAAGTATGTGCCTTCTTTTTCTTCTTCTTCTTCTGTGGTGGATTGTCCGGAGGTTCAGGGGTCAGCGGCTCTCTGTGGCTCTCCAGACCCTCCATTTCTATAGCTGGCTCAGGTCCTGCTGTTGTTTATTGGAAAGAAAAGGACTAACTACAAAATATGTGCTGCAAACACTAAACCTGGGTATTTGAACTATTCTAATTGCTACCTGCAGATGTAGCTGTTACACCAATGGACTACACTTAAATTGCTTTCATAAGAATGTATTTGCCCAGCAGCAAGCACATACAAATGTACAGTATATGATACAGTATCACTCGAGTTTTATATAGTCTGGATAAAAATGCGAACTTGTTAAGATCAAATAAAGAATTTATAAGTATCATTACCTTGAGGTTCCTCAACTTCACTAATCTCCTTCTTGGTTTTCTTTTTCTTGGGTTTGACACTTGGCATTTTGTCTGTGTAAAGGGGCAGAAACAGGACACTCAGCTTAGTCTACAGTTTACACTTGTCCTTTATAGTAATTAGATAAGAAATCCAAGTACAATAGAAATTATTACAGGCTTTGGGGTTACTAAGGCTAAGCCAAATAATATAACTGATTAATTTAAATGTAATTAATTGATAACTTCCTGTTCACATGTTCAGATGTTCAACACGGATAACTGACCACTGGTGTCTTGATGTCGCACATCCGAAAAATCAGGACTGAATGGAAACAAAGAAAATGAGACTCATTTCACTTCTTCCAATTGAAGTCAATATATAGAGTGTTTGTGTGAGCATACAGTGAGCATGCAGCTTTAAATTAGCCTCATGCTGGATATAGCACTTTAGAGAGAGAAGATTATGAGGCCAGTTAGGTAAACAACACTGACTGAACTGCTTCTTCTGCTTGACTTAAGTGCTCACTTTTAACTACTTAGCAAGTCAATGACAGTAAGCAAACTCACAATCAAAAATGTAAATATTGTAAATAGAAATTCATAATTAAGAAATTAATAATACATAAAATGATGAAAAAAGAACAAATATTGTCAGACAGATAGATCTGCTATAATCCTGAGTGGCATAATTTACCGTTTGTTTTCTTCCCATTCTTGCCTGGCTGGAGTCGTGGTGGCGCAGTAGCTGTTGGTGTGAGATGAGGAGAGTCTTGGCTGCGCCGTCAGGCTGTCTAATCCTGGGCTTAATCCTCACAGACGTGCAGCTGCCAAGGAGGGAATTAGTGTGGCATAGATCGGTGAGTGAGGACAGCCTGAGAACCACACACACACACACACACACCATTAACTACAGCTGTTACATCATACACATTTTTCCTGTATGTTCAATTCATTTTTACAATAAAAAGAACATGCACAAAGTGAAACAAATAAGTACACTCAGTGTTACATTTAAAAAAAATATTCAGATTTATTTTGAAAAGGGATCTATTTTCTCAATATATATATATATATACATATATATATATATAGCTACTAGAATGACATGCCAGCATAATATGTATAATAATATATAATATGGAAAGACAATATATGAAATGCTTAATGAATGACAGAAAGAGCAGATTCAGAAATGTCTTTAAGATGTGTGAAGGTGTCTTTGGTATATTATTTTATGCAAAAAAAAAAAAACTAAATTTGTAATTGATTATGAATCAATACATCTATACTCTACCACACCACACACACACACAAAAGTTAATTGGAAAAAGTTTAACAACTCATCTAGAGGAAAAAAAAAATACGAAAATAAAAAGTTTGGAAAAATAACCATATACACTTGCAATCAAAATGATTCAACCCCCTTGACCTGCAAAACATTCTGCTGCCGTGAACAACATTTTATGAAAACAGTTTAACCAAGGCATCAGTAAACTATTTTAGAAAGTTTATTAATACACATTTGAGTGATTCTGATAATGTGAAGTTGATGAAAAAAAATCTAAATTATTCAATACCCCAAAAGTCAAATTTTGCAGAGAACCTTTTATTCTTTATAACCTCTAATAAATGTTGCCTCTAAGTGCACACAAGCTTCTGACACCTCTCTACTGAAATCTTCGCCCATGTGCAAAAGCTTCCAGATCACTGATAAGTCTTTTTTCACGTTGCCACTGCTTTCTTCAAATTCCACCAAATATTTGAATGAGATTTAAATCTAGAGATTGAACACTCAAGAACATTCTACAACTGAACCAAGCTTCAGTAGATTTGGATGTATACTTAAGGATGTTTACCCTGCTAGAAAGTCCATTGATCATCAAGCTTCAGTCTCTGCACTGAATGCATCACAATCTTTGCCAAAACAGCCGGATACTTCAAAGAATCCATGATGTCCTTCATACAGTCCATTCCTGTAACAGAAAGCAGTAAGGTGTCCCAACATGAAGGCCATGTTTGTCTAGTGTTCTTCTTATACTCTCCGTTGAAATGTTTTTTCCTCCTTTCATCTGGTCTTCTTGCAAGTCTTTGGCAGTAAATCAAGTGTTTTCGATCTGATCGAACATTTTATTCCTCTTGATGATATTGTGCTTTTTCTTTAATACCCTCAAAGTTTTTCTAGTACAACACATTTTAAACTTCTGAATAAGGCTACCAGCTGCATCTCTAGGAAGCATCTTTTAGTGACTTGGAAATCTTATTGTAGCCAAATGTAATAAAACATTTTCTTCTCTATAGCTTTTATGCGAGCTCTTTTGACTTGGCCATATTTGCAACTTAACTTAAGCACATGCATGGGCTAAATTTGTATAGAACTCAAAAATATTATATATTGGTATCATACACTTGTGATATGACATTAAACTGTAACAGATGCAGTTTTTGACAGTTCTTGTAAGACATAAATAACACTTACATTTCTTCATTTAGCAGTCACAAAAAATTGCTTCTACGCTAGTGTAAACATACTTCAAATCACCAGAAATAAACCTATAAATCTCATAAGACATCTAGTGAAGACCCTCAATGCCTAAATATGTGTTTATAGTATACTGTATGTACTATGTACTAGTATGGACCATGATAATCCAAACGATTGCTGGTGACAAGGCAATCCTACAAACAGGATTTTACTTAGGGGTTCACATGAAAGTTCATTTTCCCTAAACGTCACACAAAGGCATTCGTTTTTTCAAAATTCAGTTCTTTTACATTAATTATATCCATTCAAACAAGTCCCTTGTTTGTTCTTACACTCTTAAAAATGCTGGGTTGTTTCAACCCAACTTTGGGTCAAATATGGACTAACCCAACCGTGTACTAGTATGGACCATGATAATCCAAACGATTGCTGGTGACAAGGCAATCCTACAAACAGGATTTTACTTAGGGGTTCACATGAAAGTTCATTTTCCCTAAACGTCACACAAAGGCATTCGTTTTTTCAAAATTCAGTTCTTTTACATTAATTATATCCATTCAAACAAGTCCCTTGTTTGTTCTTACACTCTTAAAAATGCTGGGTTGTTTCAACCCAACTTTGGGTCAAATATGGACTGACCCAACTTTTGGGTTACATTTTTTACATTAAATTTTTAACCCAAAAGTTGGGTTAGTCCATATTTGACCCAAAGTTGGGTTGAAACAACCCAGCATTTTTTAGAGTGTATGCATGTCTGTCTGTCATAGATGATCAGGAGCAAACCAGCTGGCAGGAATCCACTGTGGTTCTTCTTGAGCATGTTGTATAGCCGTGAACAGATCCATGCATGAATCTTGCAGGTCATCGTTCACAATCACGCAGTCAAAGTACTGACGATACTTGGCTTCCATGGTCCTGCTTGCTTCCTCAATCGCCTCAAAGTCTTTATCCTGAACAGACCAGTGGGACAATGTTACATGTCATAACCAGAATTCATGAACACACTCTTTTCTTTCAGTTCATAGCTGTTTATCAATCTATTATCAGAAACAAAGGTACCACAAGAAATATCAAATGCATATCTTACATGAAAACATCTCTTAATGTAGCTATTGGCAAGAAAATGTGGGTCTTTTCTTGTTTGTCTCATGCGTGCTGGGGACGGGGGCCGCACAAATATGATGTAGGGCTTCAGCTTCTTGGTTCTGACTGAATGAATGCACTGGAATAAACAGATATGTGCAGGTGCATCACTGTTTGCAACCTAACTAATGATAAAAACACAAGTGTGGTTTTAATAATCATTAATGACACTTACATGAGGTTCAAGGTCAATAACACATATTTTTCCATTGTCCAAAACATCTTTGACTGAGTCTAAGCTGGTGCCGTACATGTGTCCATTATGCTCTCCATACTCAAGAAATCTGGATATTGTTAAAAACACAAAAAACAATCCAAAATAAGCTGAATCACAAGAACAGATCATCAGTTATATATATGTTTTTTTTTTTATATTTAAACATAAACAAAAAGATTACTTGTGATTAACCACCATGTACGCAAACACGTCCTTGGTCACAAAGTGATATTCCCGCCCATTCTTTTCACCCATTTTTTGGGACCTTGTTGTGTCTGGAGCAAAACAAGAGACATGCTGTAACATCAGATTGTTTTGTTAAATAATGTTAGACGCTGTTAACAATTTCAGACGTTTGTTAACTTCAAACACACACAGTCACTCTTTAAGATCTAGCCGTCCAAACACAATTTCAGTGCCTTGTTTGAAATACTTATTACTCTTTGTGCTTCTACATCATGTAGAAAGTTTCAGTGATATAAGAGGTTAGGGCTGGATTTTTTATTTGATTTTTTTACAATATTCCAAAAAACTAGCTTACAGCACCTTTAAGTCAGAGATTAAAGGGATCATATGGACAACATACAAGATATTGGTCCCTGGTACGTATTAGGGTTGATTTTGATTAGCCTCCTGCGTAGTTCGTTTACACCAACTCCTGACGGACCTGTGGAAATATGGAAAAGTATTGAGGCTTTAATGGGACATATTTAAATCAGCCAGTGAGACACATGATTGTTAGTTATTGTCAGTTCATGCAAGGATATGATAACCCTGCACATAGAGGACCATACCAATGAGCACAATGAGACGGGGGGGATCGTCTATGTGGCGCTGGTAGTGGAGCACCTCTTCACAAATGGTGGCTGAGGTGCTATGGCAGCTGCTGACCCCACAGGAATAACATGACGGCTTTCGTTTGCTGTATGATTTCCTCCTCCACACACGCAGACTGTATCGGAACCCCACTGATTCAAACAATTAAACAATTCACTTTTCATATACGTGTATGCGTTCATATGAGCCGAAATTGAAATTGATCATTTACATTCATCATTCAGATTTCATACCTATATATAATCCCTGCATGTGTTCATTCTCACCCTCCTCTGACACTGGACAAAACAAAGAGTGGGTCAATGTAAAGACCATTGGCAAACGTTTTAATAACAAATCTTTAAATCAGCAAATCTATATAAAATCTAAATTATTCTCTCATTCAGTGAAATGCTCTTTCCCCAGAAAAGACTTACCTACCGAACTCAAAATCTTCTTCATCTGTAAAAACAAATAAATGAATTCAACATTGTGCTAAAATTGTTCATACAACCCCATTCTATTACTATGGAAGCCTGTTTCAGCAACGGAATAAAACAATTAAAAAGGCAATTGTCACTTTTTTATCTCACAATTCTGACTTTTATGAGTTTATATCTTGCAATTCAGAGTTTCTTTCTCAGATCTGTGAGAGATAAATGCAAAATTACAAGACATGTACTCAAATTTCTGAGAAAAAAAGTCAGAACGGAGAGATGTTAACTCAAAAGTGCTAAATAAAAACTCAGAATGGCAATAAATAAAGTCAGAATTTTAAGATTACAAGTCATTATATATATTTTTTTAATCTGTGGCAGAAATGGACTTTCCTATATTACCACACAGAATAATAAGTTAAATAAATGAAGACATGGATTCTGTGGGATAATCACCTGTTTCAATGCATTTGTTCTCATCCATTATCTCCTCTTCTCCTTTAGAACAAAGAGAGTTACACTCACCCAGCACTACACAACTAATATTTCATCCATTATCTATTTACTTCATGCACACCCATTACAATCAATTCCTAATAGACAAAACAAGTCATAATAGACAAAAACAAGTAAACATAAACAGAAAAATCACAGGGAAAGACAAAAAAAGATACATACCAATATCTGCTGCGCTCACTTTGGATATCAAAGCAAAGAAAATGACAAAGAATTAGACTAGTAATTAATAAATATTAAATATTAATAATATTAATGCAACATGGTGGGTAATCATATGAACAGACTGCAATTAGTACATCATAAGTGGTCATAGCATTCTTTAATTCTATTTATTTTTTCTGGGTTAAGCTTATTATTACAAATTACATTTTTAGATGACTTTTTAATTAAGAATGACTCTCTCTGACCTTTTTTTAAATGATGTTTAAAACATCATGTCATGGGCTGCAGGATTGTCGTCAAGTCTTATATAGTTTTAACTGCTCCATCCTTCAATAATAGCCTCTACGCAAAACCTGCATTACACTGAGCAATCTGTGCTGAATTGTGCCCGAAATGTTTCAGGGACTTGTTTGACAGGGACCTTGCAAACTTCAGACGCTTGTTTCTAATTCCTCAGAAGGATATGCAGAAGAACCTGGTGTTTAGAAATAATAGTATCTATCCTTCTTTCACCTTAATGGTTGAGCACAAGGTGGACAGGACTAGTCAATCAGTCATGAAGGAAGGACCATGCCAAGAACAGCTCACTTTCAAGCTTCTTTAAAGTAATTAGATCAGGATGGAGAGAGGACAGGGTTAAGAGGCTTATGATGCCAACTAACATCTTAAAGAGTGCAGAGAAGTTCATACATCTATGTGTGTATGTGTGTGCTATAACATACAGGGTCTGATGCAGGTGTGAGCTTGATAAGGTTGGGACCACCATAACTCTCTTTGCTTACTGCAAAACAAGGAAATAAACATCAGTCTTGGTCAAAAATGGATCAATGGCATAATTCTGAAAAAATTTAAAACTTAGCATAATTCAAAACTGACTATCTGAATTGGTTAGTGGAGGGTATGAGGCCACAACACAATGAGGCACTGTGGAGTTTCCTGGCCTGCCACCATCGGATGTCCCTCTGGTCTACAATCTCCAGCAAGTCACCTTTACTGAAAGGCATGCCTGCATCTGGGCAGGGGATCGCAGGGTCTTGCAGAGGACTGTAATCCACCATGGCTCTCATATATAGCTAATAGGAGAGAGAGAGACAATTAACAATAACTTTTTCTTTGTTTACTTTTTTAATAAGTCATTCTTTTAATGCAGCAAGCGAACTCACTATATAGTATTTATTAAATATATAGACCAATTTGGTGTTTGCAAACAGTGATGATGTTTTTTTGTGGGCGGATTCTATCTGGTGGCAGAAAATGACAGTTTTAAAGTAGCAGTCTACAGAAGCCATGGAATAAAAGAATGAAAAAGGTAACTTTGGGTTTGTATTTCAAAATTCGGACTTTTTTCTCGCAATTCCGAGATTATATCTCACAATTCTGATAAGGAAAATCAACTCGTCATTCTCTCTTTTCCCCTCAGCTCAGAATCATGAGTTTATAATCCCACACTTTTCCCTCTCAGAATTGACAAACTTGCAATTGTTGAGTTAAATTGAGTTATAAAGTCCGAAGTAGGATATTTAAACTTGCATTTGCGAGAAAAAAAGTCAGAATTGTGAGATAAAATAGGTAAATGTTATAGGTTTAAATAGCTTTTTCATGCTGTAACTGTAGGCTAATAGAATATGTCCCCTATGAACTGCATATGTGAATATTATGTAGACCTACTGTTTAAATCAAATTTATGCTTTAACAGTAGGGTAATCATAGCAGGTTTCATCCATAGTCTGTTTGTTTAAACATCTGCGTTTAGCTTCAAATGGCGTCTTTGACGACAGTATTTTATAAAAATTATTTGCATTCCGATACTGACATCCAAAGGCACAACAATACATATTTTCTCTTATTCCGTGGATTTTACCCATTTGCCTCCTCTTGTTCCCAGTGTTTTTCTGCCACCACAATGCACGTGCAGCTGCAAGTGACGTAACTGTGACGTCTACTCCAAATTGGTCTGTAGTATTTATACAATATATAGTATTTATTAAATGTATTCATTTATTAAATATATTTGTAGAATATTATAAATATATTTATTAAATACAGTGCACTTACGGCTGGTTGGCTGTTGGCAGGTTGTGGTGAATTAGGGATCACTTTAAAAAGAATATTTCCCTGAGATTGTACCTATAAAAGTGTGCACACTGCATGAATAGATATGGTCATTATAAGAGTATAGGGAATGGTTTGAAAGTCTAAGATATTATGTAACTGGAAGAGAGTGGGGAACGTTATAAGAAACACAAAAAGAGGTTTTAATCTTGACTTTACCAGCATCTGAATGACTCGCTCGGGCTGCAGTCCCCGCACTTTCTGTCCATTCACTTCCACCAGCTTGTCGCCAGGATGAAGAAGTCCTAAAAGACACACACACACACACACACATTAGAGAATACTACTGTTAGTCTAATACTTTCAAACAACATCAAAATTATCACGTTGTGGTGTTAATGGCTCAAAAACACACACTTCACCTTTAAAGTCAGCATTAAATTAAAACTCACCATATCCAATTTCTAAATGTGATACTGATCTTATTTTGAACAATTCATCCATGCATGTTTTAACCTCATAATTCTTAAAATATCATAATCTTCCATTGAAAGGATTGGTGACGTATGATGGACTTCTCCAATCATTTAGTCTGCTTAAACCCCACCCCTTTCTTAAAATTGACATCCAGTCAACAACGGATGGATAGAACCAAGTTCCTCCATACATTTTTTCTTTTTTTGATAACCTGTTTCACTTGGGTGTACTGTACATTACAATTCTGAAGAAATGATCTGATGCTACTTCCGTTTCATCACCACTTTAACTTTTTGCATCAGTTTAATTACATGATTAAACCTATCAGAACACTTAATAAGTATGAGCTCAAAGAACAAAAAGTATATCAAAAAGTTTACTTACTAAAAAGTAAAAAAAGGTTACTTACCACTGCGATCTGCCAGTCCTCCATGTATCACCCTTGCAATAAAGATGTTCCCCGTTCTTTCATTCTTCCTAATAGTTACCCCCTAAAATTGTGAAAACACACAAGAATGGTCAATCAGTTGGTTGTCAATGACAACAGGCATCACATGGTGATTCCCACAGAAGATCTTACTCCTGCACATGAGTGGAGGAAGGCTGTGGGTGCAGTGGAGATCATGTTATGATGAAATATTAGGAGGATGGACATTGCGGTAATGAGATTGCAGAATACAGTCATCTCAAACAGAAACATGCCTGACTTGACCTAAACTAAAAGTGTGACAGAGGTCAAAGAGGAACTTAGAGTTTGGGAAAGACACATAGGGTTGATGAATGGGTTGATGAATGAGCCTCAGATGAAGAATGCAGCATTTTTATTTGAAGGCACAAGCACCAATCAATGAATTGTTCCATGGATCTTGATTGTGGATGGGATGAAGAGGAGATACAAATAAGAAAAAGATCAAGTAATTGCCTTTTTGTAGTGTAGTTCCATTGTAGTGAACAACATCACAGCATTCGGTAAAGTCAAAACCAGCAATTTCAGCAAAGAGTAAAGTGAGGAGAGAGAAGTGGGAACACAGTCACTCTTATTTCCTCATCTTCGACTTTTTCTTCTTGCTAGGGAGGCACAGTATTGTATTACAGTCATCGTTACGAGTGGAGGTCGTCAAACTGTTTGATAGGGAAGTCTGTCCATTTTTACTTCCTGGTATTACAGACCTGTTTCTGGTCTGGCATGATGAAGACTTGCATGAGTTGCACTGTGGTGCTACATGAGAAAAATCCATGTTACAGCTTAAAGAAGAGGAGGAAAACAATGATGTGGTTGAAGATGAAGATGATGAGATGGAGGATGAGACATGAGGAGTGTTGCTGAAAGATTTCTTGGCTGGCGCAATCGGCTGGCCAGGCAAGTTGGGCACACTTGCCATTTTTGAGATGTGTTGGGATCTGGAAGTCATTCCTGGAGATTTGCTAGCAATAATAAGACCCTGCAGTTTGTCCACCACTTCCACCAACAGACTCAATGCCTGGGCGTTTTCCTCTACACTGTCTGTCATTCTCTCAGTTACCTCTACCATCTTCTGCCTGAGATCTCGAGCGTCACTGGTGCTCTGGTCCATACTGCTGGCAACGGTATAGACGGTTGACCTCAGCTCATCCAGGCTGTTTTGCTTTGTGAACACCAGAGCTGGATGAGAGCGGGTGGCATCTATGGAGTGGTGCCGCTGAAGCAGAGGGCTGGAGGGGGCTGTCTGGGAATGGAGGCCACATCCAGGTGGGCAGCATGAACACGGGTATGCTAGAGATGAGGTGTTGCAAGCTGTGCATGTATGGTGTTGATCTTCGACTAGGGTTTCGACACCATCTGCACAGTTCTCTTCAATTATAATAGACAAAACAGGATAGATTAATTTGGTTTCAGAATTAAACACTGTAAGACAGTGTTTGGCCTTGTCAAGCCAAACAGTAGATGTCTTTGGGACATGATGAGCCTTACCCATAATCACAGAGTCATAAACAGCCGGAGCTGAGAGGTTCAGACCTCCTCCTGAGAGATGGGCAGTTTGGCAGCACAGGTTACATCTACCAGTGGACTGATACCTGGGCAGTGAGTGCGGCTGTCCTGAGGGTATGGAGGACAGCAGACCGGTGGAGGATGACAGGCCGCCTGCAGACCCCAGGAGACTCTGCTCTTCTGAGCCAAAACGTCTGGCTAAAGCCAGTTTCTCCACTGTGAGTCTCCTAAGGCTGTTCCAGTAACTGGGCCTTCCCTCTTTGACACACTTATAAGTGAGAAAACAGGATGAGCATGCTAACCAACAAACATTAGACCAAGAAAAAGCTTGGGTATCTTGCAATATGGTAAAATAAGAGTCAAGTAAAATCACATTCTGTTGCAAGGACAAAATGATCTGTGTCTCTATTGGGATGGAAACGGATGTGGGCTCTCCCTGAAGAGGATTATTTTGTGACAACAACCTTCTGGATGTACATTATCCTGCTTTTTATGCTTCTATCTACCACAGAGGTAAATAACTGGACTAAAATAGTTAAAGCTTCAGGAGAGAAAAACTGTTCCTATTAAGTGGCTTTGAGCCAAGATGAACAAACATGATGCAAATCTTAATAAGTTCTTTAATGTGACCATCCGTTTCAAATGTGAAATTAATCATTTTCAATTAATAACGTTAAAACTTTTTTCATATTGGTTTCATAGACTCACCATAGCATTGAAATTTTATGTGTGTGACCCTGGACCACAAAATCAGTCATAAGGGTTTATACATCATATGAAAGCTGAATAAATAAGCTTTCCATTGATGTATGGTTTGTTAGGATAGGACAATATTTGGCCAAGATACAACTATTTGAATATCTGGAATCTGAGGGTGCAAAAAAAAATCGCCTTTAAATTTGTCCAAATGAAGTTCTTAGCAATGCATATTACTAATCAAAAATTACGTTTTGATATATTTACGGTAGGAAATTTACAAAATATCTTCATGGAACATGATCTTTACTTAATATCCTAATGATTTTTGGCATAAAAGAAAAATCGATAATTTTGATCCATCCCAAATTTTTTTTTTTGGATATTGCTAAAAATATACCCAAGTGAATAAAGACTGGTTTTGTGCTCCAGGGTCACATATGTTCATTAAAACATGGCTTTATCTTTGTGTTTGTTGGAAAATCAGTCAAACAAATATATATTTTTCTATTATTTGGTAGAAGTCATCATTTTCTCCCTTATGAACTTGGTATTCGATTTCGGCCACATCTTTCTCAGACATGCCTGTCGACATACTTTTATTTTAAGGTGTCCTTGTTACACTATCATTATACATTTAAGTACTGAGTAATATTAATTAACAACATGTACTTACTATAGGGTTAGGATTATGGTTTGGTTTAGGGTTAGTTGCATGTAATTATTTATAGTTTTTGTTACGTATAACAGAGGCTGTAAAATAAAGTGTTATACTTTTCATTTCACTGTAATATCCATCTAGAAATAAGCAGCATTGTAGATTATAAAACAGGACCGTGATCATTAGAATGAATAAAGTGAAGTGCAAAATCAGTGGTAGGATTGGTGGGATTTGTATTTACATACTAAAATAAGACTCAACATCTGATTTCAATAGGTTTTAAAACCTGTTATTACGTAACCATACAGCTCTTACCATAGATCAGAAAAAAAATATTTAATGCCATATACCCTTTACATGATATTGTACTGTAGCGCAACAAGGGACATTTAAGTGGGATTACAGATAAGCTGTTCACTAACATATCTGAAATTGCAGTGCTATTTATAATGTGATGCTCACCAGAGGCTGTTTATTCTTCATGAGGCAAACAATCCTCATAGCCTCCTCATTGTCAGGCAGTTTGTCAGGAAGGGGCGGCAGCACTGGACCATAGTCCCTCTGGGCCACAGAATCATAAGCAGAAAGCAAAGCCTGGAGAGAAATACATAATAAATGGTAATAAAACAAATAATAAAACAAGACTGACATAACTTTTATTTACATATATGTACCATAATGAAATGATCATACTAGCAAATTAGACTCTAACCTGCATATGAGGGCATTTCAGTAAAATATAAAGTTCTTGTGCATCAGAGGAAGGAGCAGCCAGTCCTCGCACACTGGCTATAATCTGTGGGAGAGTAGAAGACAGACAATGAAAAGAAAATAGAGGCTGATAGGATTACTTCACCCGGAAATTAAAATATTTTCATCCTTTACTCACTCTTACTGTATGTATGACTTTAGAAGCCTTATAATATACTATAGTGCTCAAATAATCATTTACTCAACCTCATGTATGGCTTTAGAAGACTTGGAATATACTTACAATGAATTATACACTGTAAAACCAAACGAGTTAAGGTAACTCAAACCATTTGCATTAAATTAAATAAGTTCACTGTACTTGTAACTATTGTTTTGTTTTTAAAAAATGCTTTAAATGATTTTGCAAGTGCACAAAAAGAGGGCTCTCTTAATATTATATTAAACTATAAATACATTAAAATACTTTGTGGGGCTGAAACTTAACTAAACTTCACAAAACAATCCAAATCAGTAACAGTTATCCAATAGGTGGTACCAGCAATAGCACAAGCACACATCCATGCGCTAATGTAATTATAGAGACTATCACTGTAATGTAGTGAGTAGTCATTGCTTTTTAAATAAAGCAACATAGTGTAGCTAAACCTGTAACCTTGTCCATTTGGAAGAACTGGATTTTGGCTATTGAATCTACTGCTGTTACTTTTGTTGTTATTATTACTACTATTACTACAAATCCTGCCTATCTGTGTACTTATTTGATTTTTATGTTGTTTTACCTTAGACATTTTTCTAAGTCCTGAGGTGTGTTGGGTCGGGTGAGGATTTGGGGGTAGTAGTTGTCAAACATCTTTTTTTTCCTTTATTGCAATATGTTTTTGTATACTTTACCAAAATAATAAAAACACTGAATTACAAAAATAAAAAAATAAAAATAAAGCAACATACTATATAGTCATAATGTGCAAAAATAACACTTAACTTTAATATTTAGTGTCCTTTAATAGTCTGAAGCGAGGCATGCTGGGAAAATGAAATCTGCTGAAACTCAATCAGTTCCAGTTCTGCTTAATGTAATCAGTGAGTTCATGTAACTTTATTCTATTAAATACAATGCATTTTCAGTAGTATCTGAGTAACATGAACATGTTTCATTGATTACATTTGACTGTTGTATGTCATTATATTATATATGACATGAGAGTTTCATATGGTTGATGACTGAGTCCTTCAAAGCAAAGTCAGTAATAAAATGCATTGACTGACCTCCTGAGATAGTCTTGAGGAACAAGACAGGTACGGGCTTGGGGAATCTCTACTGTGCTGCACCAGACACTCATATACCTATAGGAAATAACAAATCCTTTATCTGCAAGACAGCTGCAAACTTTTTTCCACACTCAGTCCAATGTCCTGCCCTGGGATAATGTCAAAACTGGATAGTCATGGGTGAAAGTACTGAATGAGCATGTCTTACCCTGAGAAGAGAGCAAAGCCAAGGAGCACTGAGGAGACCGTACAGAAGATCAGCACCATTAGTATCTCTGTCTATGGAGAGTCTCACTTCCTCAACCACTTCTGCCAAGATCTGAGCCAAACCTACATCTGTGAAAGAGAACAAGACTCAAATTACTGTAGTATTTGATTTGCAGCTATACCATTGTGCATGTCAAGGGCACAACATCCCTGTTCTATGTATTTGCAAAGACGCACCATTGTCATCTTGTCCAGGTTGTGTCACTGGCTCCTCCTCCATTGATTGCCGCATGATAAACCTCTCTATTCAGATCACTGCAGTCCCATAAAACAAATCCATGTCGAGAGTACAAGGGCACAATCTACATTTCTGCTGCAGAATTATAAATCATAAATTATGAGTGCAAAAACGGCAGAACCACTGCAAGTTTAGTTGACTACAATGTTTTAAAGAACAAGAATGTTTGCTTTAAAAAAAAACCTTCTAGATTATAATAGCTTTAAAGGGTTAGTTCACCCAAAAATGAAAATGCTGTCATTAATTACTCACCCTCGTGTTGTTCGAAACCCGTAAAACCTTCGTTCATCTTTGGAACACAATTTAAGATATTTTTGATGAAATATGAGGGCTCTCTGACCCTCCCATAGACAGCAAGGTAACTACCACGTTCAGGGTCAAGAAAAGTACCAAGATGATCGACAAAGTAGTCCGTGTGACATCAGTGGTTCAACTGTAAGAGTACTTTGTCGATCATCTTGGTACTTTTCTGGACCTTGAACGTGATAGTTACCTTGCTGTCTATGGGAGGGTCAGAGAGCCCTTAGATTTCATCAAAAATATCTTAAATTGTGTTCATAAGATGAACGGAGGTCTTACAGGTTTCGAACAACACGAGGGTGAGTAAATAATGACAGAATTTTCATTTTTGGGTGAACTAACCCTTTAACTAGTCATTTTGATTCTGTATTCCTAACATCTTCAAGTGCCTCTAATTGGAAAATTACCCATGTATAAAAATATTAGAAAAAGAATTATAATAACCTAATGAGAAGGAAGCAGTATTATAAAATAATGTTGGAATAAATAATTTACCTGCTATAAAACAAACCAATGTCAAAAATAAAACCATAATTTGCATTTCTGCTGCAGAATCATAAATCATGAATTATGAGTGCAAAACTGACAGGAACGTTACACATTTAGCTGATTACTTGTTTTAAAGAACAAATTATAATAGCTTTAACTTGTCATTTGTATTAATTATTCCTAACACTTTTAAAATGACTAATTTATAACATATTTCAAAAATATATTTATTTGTATTTAAGACAAAAAAAAAATACACCTGCTCAAAAACAAACCTAGTCAATTTATAACTTTGAACCTGGAGATATAACCAATATGATGGTCAGTCAGTGTCATTTATTGCAAAGATCATCTACAACTACACAATTAATGCACGTCAAATTGAAGTAATCTGGAAATTGTTCAATTCATTTTAAGAATGAAATTACACATCGATTGTGATCTCTGAACTCGTTATGAAAGCAGGTCAAGAGTCCGTCATATGAAGATTAGATTATGATGCCGCACTTACCTCCTTACACTCCTGCCACTGTCTTCCTCCAAACCACACTGATGCTTCTTCATCCTACGTTTAGACCAGGTAGCTGTGGAAGCATCTTGTCAGTTGAGCTTTATATTAAGGTGATCTTCTGCTTCTGACCTGCCAACATGCATGTGATTTTACTATAAAATGTCTCTGGACACTCAGATTGTAATCCTTTTCTATCCCATTTAATCCAGCGAGGGGCCGGCCTCTCTCTGTGAGCAATTCCATAGGACCGCCTGCCACTCAAAGCTTCTTACCTCCTCCTGCTTTTAGAGCTCAATAGACACACTCACACTTACACAATATGGCCAACCAACTTTACAGATAAAATGGAAAATATGACACATAAAACCAAAAGACTCAGCCAAAGCTAAAGACAAAGCTAAAAATATATCACAATGCCAGAGACTTAACAACTTAACAATTGCAATCAAATGAATAGATAGGGGAAAACATATTTAAAGGAGCAATGTGCATTTTTTAAAAGGAATAATTTATCCAAAACTGAGTATTTGCTGAAAATGTACTCACCCTCAGGCCATCCAAGATGAAGATGAGTTTATTTCTTCATCTGAACAGATCTGAAGAAATTTAGCATTACATCACTTGCTCACTAATGGATCCTCTGCAGTGAATGGGTGCCGTCAGAATGAGAGCAGAAACAAATGATAAAAACATCACAAAGGTCTTGTGAAGTGAAAAGTTCTATGTTTGTAATAAACAAATCAATCATTAAGGCGTTTTTAACTTCAAATTACTGCTTCCAGCTAAAATACGAGTCTAGCTTTAATATTGCTTTCTTCTGAAAAAGTCATCTTGTCTGAATCAGGAGAGAAATATGCACAAATCAAGATATGTTTACAAGCAAAAACACTTCAAAACAGTTCTAAACAAATATGTTGGTGTATTTTGATGTGAGAGGACAACAGGGGATGGACTTTTTCATTGGAAGAAGCGTTATTATGGACTTATATTTTGGTCAGAAGTGACAGTTTAAAGTTAAAAATGTCTTAATAATAAATTTGTTTCTTTCAAACAAACAGATTTTCACTTCACAAGATGTTAGTTGATGGACTGGAGTCATGTAGAATACATACTGGATTATTGTGATGTTTTTATCATTTGTTTGTGCTCTCATTCTGACGGCACCCATTCACTGCAGTGGATCCAGTGGTAAGCAAGTGATGTACTGCTAAATTTCTCCAGATCTGTTTAGATGAAAAAAAATACAAAATTCTCATCTAGATTCTGGATGACCTGAGGGTGAGTAAATATTCAGCAAATTTTCATTTTTGGGTGAACTATTCGTTTAACTGTAATAATGTCAGAGCTAAAATCCAGGACACCGCATTGCTGATAGTCACGGGTGTTACTTGACCAATGCTAATGGTCTTAAATTGAACCTCATTAATTCTTTCTATTATCTATATTATTATCAATTCATAACTATATAAGCAACGTGACAGAGAAGAAAACCACAACATAAATTTGATCTTGCAGGTATGGAATGTTTATTGAAGTAGTGAAAGTAGTATGCCAGAAAACGGTTTACAAAAGCGGTTTATTCATTCCTTTTTTCATGACTTCAATTGCACAAATTGTTGTCAAACTGTGTTTGACAAATTCATTTTCAAGGTGATGGTCACATTTACAGAAGATCAACAATGAGAGTACAAGTAGTTTATCAAAACCAGTAACCTTCTGAAAAATTAAAAATAAAAAACAATAAAATCAGCCTTTGTATTTAACAGAAAAGGTGCTGTTGTTTTTATGATCATCGTAAGCAATACTTCAGTAACCAGTCTAGCCAATGACAATGACCTAACAAATTTATGATTTTCAAAGATTTTTGAGAATTTTGCGCAAATTATTGTGTAAAGTTATTGTTTGTTTAATTTCTTATTAGTAAGTCATATACTGTATATAAACATTATTGAGCCATCCTGCTCTCTAGATTTTGGCAATCAGTCATTAAAAACCCACATCTGCCAACCAGATCTCACAACAAGCCTGTGTGACATCAGCAAAACTCTTTCAGTGCATGTTCAAATGTACAAAAGATGCATTCAGAGGAAAACACACACACACACACACACACACACACACATATACAGTACTTTTTCACAAGTTATTGATCGGCTTGATATAAGTGAAATAAGTTAATTCATGAATAAAGGCATTTGTGAAACAAGCTAAATGTAAAGGTTACCGCTAGTTTTGCCAGTGCAAAATACTACATGCTGAGGTTCTTTAGGGGCCCTGCCATTGAAATTATTATTCCCTTATTGCATAGTGTTGAATGCCACATTTTCAGTAAACGGCAAAAATACATAAAAAATATGACTTTAGTCTTAAGTGAAGTGACATGTGACATGTGGCCAAGTAATACTTGGAATTAGCATTTAAATGTGTGTGCACTCACCCGGAGCAGTGGGCAGCCATTTTTGCTGTGGCGCCCGGGGAGCAGTTGGGGGTTCGGTGCCTTGCTCAAGGGCACCTCAGTCGTGGTATTGAAGGTGGAAGAGAGCGCTGTACATACACTCCCCCCACCTACAATCCCTGCCGGTACGAGACTCGAACCCGCAACCTTTTGGGTTACGAGTCCGACTCTCTAACCATTAGGCCACGACTTCCCCCGGAAGTGTATTAGTTCTAAAAATATCTTAAATTCATTCTGGTACAGTCTAATAAGACTAGATAATATAATTACAACTAAATCAAATTTCATATAGTGAAAAGCTTCATGTCAGCATGCTGTCATGCTGAAATGGAAACCTCATTTGTGACCCTGGTCTTAAGTCGCTGGGGTATATTTGTAGCAATAGCCAAAATACATTGTATGGGTCAAAATGATAGGATATTAAGTAAAGATCATGTTCCATGAAGATATTTTGTAAATTTCCTACTGTAAATATATTAAAACTTAATTTTTGATTAGTAATATGCATTGCTAAGAACTTCATTTGGACAACTTTAAAGGCGATTTTCTCAATATTCCCAGATTTTCAAATAGTTGTATCTCAGCCAAATATTGTCCTATCCTAACAAACCATACATCAATGGAAAGCTTATTTGTTCAGCGTTCAGGTTATGTATGAATCAATTTATTGACCAAAAAAATTGACCCTTATGACTGGTTTTGTGGTCCAGGGTCATATATTCTCTCAGAATATCCATGGTGTTATAATCAGATGGATTATACAGTTACTTTTTAAAAATACATCACGATATATTATTTGACTTCAATTAGGAACTACATTATTTGTTCACTATTGCAAGTCACCTTTACATGAAGGGGGTTTAATAACACCATTAAGTCACAAATCTCTATTTGCAGTTTATAATACCTACATCGCAAGACTTCAAATGTATTTAGAATCACTGCAACCCCGCGTAATGTGCAAAATGACAACAAAACCAATAACCCAATAAAAAGCTACTTATTACTAGGGATGCAGCTATAGGATTTTTTAGTACTGATTACAAGTTAACAGTAGTTAACGATACTATAAACTTTCAGTAGGGTGACCGTAACTATTTTCAAAGCTTTTGCAGTAACAAGCTACATTTTCTAAAAACTGATGCCACTGCTTTATCCTTCAGAAGGATCATTTATATACTGTACACTACCGTTAAAACGTTTTGGATCAGTAAGATGTTTTGAAAGAAATTAAACTTTTCATTCAGCAAGGATGCATTAAAGGGATAGTTCACCTTCAGTTGCTGTTCCCCTTGCATAGTGTTTTTTTTTCCATACTATGGAAGTCAATGGGGACCAGCAACTGAAGGTGAACTATACCTTTAAATTGATTAAAAGGGACAGTAAAAATGTCAACAGTATGTTCAAAAGATTTATATTTTTAAATAAATGCTGTTCTTTTGAACTTTCTATTTATCAAAACTCCTGAAAAATAGTAGTAGGATTTGCACAAAAATATTAAGAAGCACAACTGCTCTCAGCACTGATAATAAGAAATGTAAATCAGTATATTAGAATGATTTCTGAAGGATCATGTGACACTGAAGACTGGAGTAATGCTGCTGAAAATTCCGCTGTGCATCACAGGAATAAATTACATAACAGAAAATTGTTATTTTAAACTGAAATAATATTAAATTTAATTAATATTACTGTTTTTTGCTGCCTTGGTACGCATAAGAGACTTCTTTCAAAAACATCTTTCTTGCAATACCTTTCATTCATTCATTCATTCAAGTTACTGTCAATCTGAGATAATTCATTCAAAAACCCTTATTGTTTTTGTGTCATTTAATCACTGCTCTGATACAATTACATAGTTTCATCTGATTATATTAAAATCACAGTATCATCATTAGCTTGAGTATCAGTATATAAGCCAGAGGCAGATTGATACAGAATATAATATATAGCAATATGAGTGTCAGTTATTACTGAAACTGCATGTAATAACCTTGTGACACCTGTTGAGTGCTTATTCTGCTATCTTATATAAAACAGAAAACGTCTCTTTTCTGTCCAGGTAATATGGGTGTTGAAATGTACATGTTTCTCCAAGAGGTAACTGAACTGGCAGCCAGATGGTCAATGTGAGAGTCTCAATAGTTATAACAATTGAAGTAATCTCTGTAGAACAGTGCTTAAGAGAGATGAGTGGAAAGTGATCTTATTTTTGAGACCTGAAATAAATGAGCACATCTTGACTTGACCTGTAATCCGTGTCTCTTTAAATGGCACCTGCTCCGTAAGACTGTGCGCAAGTTGGCAAAGCTGTGGCTGCACCGCTCGCAAACCAACCCCTCCTATGTCGTCTTCTCAAGCTGAATCTGGTTGTAGCAGGCCTAAGGGCAGAGAAAGAGATTAAAGTAAAACATGGAAGAGAATGAAAGGGGACTAGTGATTGCGTGTGATGAGATTATCCTTAAAATTCATTCAAATCCTTAAAGGCTTTAGCTTTACAAATAAACTTTTGGTTCGTAAAACCAGCCCCCAATATTAAAAGGGGTCATGTCATACATTATTTATTCAGTTTCAAGTTTTTATATTTACATCAAGTGATCAAACTCAGAATTTGTCAAGAATTTTAAATGAACTAGGTAAAATTGATATTCTAATGACATAACTTTATGATTTTAAAAGTAGTAATGCTACTTGTCCCTGAAGTTGTGTGAAAAAAAAATTCATT